TTGGAGTTGATTATCATAGCGTTGTCAAGGAAAAACCATGAATTTTTACGAAAAATACCTAAAAATGAGTATGTACCCCCCCCCCTAGCGGCCACATCTTTTGACATAAAGAGCTCAAATTTGACACACTTACGTATTTTTACGTGAAAATTACAGGAAAATTATAGCGAACTTGATTCGGATTAATTTACATAGCGTTGTCAAGGAAAAATCAAAAATTTCGAAAAAAATGATTTATTCTCCCTAGCGCACACAATATTCAATCCAGACTGTTCATACTTGCTGTAAAACTCAATTTTTGCGTGAAAAATACAGGGAAAAAATGTAAGCGCGATTGGAGTTGATGATCAATTTTTATCAAATTTTTGAAGAAAAATGATAAATTTCAGAAAAAAATGTATTTTTCCGCAAAAAACGAAAAAAGTTTTTCTACAGTGATTCAAATTTATATATTTTGACGTATTTTTACGTGTAGATTACAAAAAAAATATAGCGAGGATGATTGGAGTTGATTTTTCTGGAATTAATAAACAAATTTTATTTTTTAGATAACTTTCGATTTTTCCTTGACAAGCAGCTACTAGCCTTATATCAATATCTTAAGTTTTATCTCTTTTTGACTTAGAGAGATAAAATTTAATATTCAATATATTTTTAAAATGTAAATACAATAAAAATATTGCGAGTTGAAATAAAATTATGTTTCTTATATTTTTTTAGTAAAATATTTTTTAAAAAATAAAATCGGACAAGTGCGAGTTACACTCGCACTGAAATCGAGGGTTCCGTACTCGAAGCGAACTTATTTGGTATAAAAACAAATGTTTAAAAAATATGTGTTGTATGACAACTAATATAAGTGATACGAAGAGGAACAATTTTCTTGAATTTTACAAAATTGTTCCTTTTTGTATCACTTATAATAGTTGTCATACAACACATATTTTTTAAACATTTGTTTTTATACCAAATAAGTTCGCTTCGAGTACGGAACCCTCGATTTCAGTGCGAGTGTAACTCGCACTTGTCCGATTTTTTAAATATTCATGTGGTGAAATTTTGTTCACATTATTATCAGTTGGACGAATTATTTTCTTTTCACTAGTGTCATTTAGAGAATGTTTAATTTTTAAATCTTGTGTTAATAGAACTCTGTTAATATTATTACTGGGAATATACACGGAGAAAATCTGAAAGCAATGAGTATTTTTTCTCATAGCACTGGCTACTGTGTATACCAAAAAATTAAATTTCAAAACTCTGAATGTTCTCCACACAGCACTGAATGCTCTGCAGAAAATAATCACAACTTTTTTTGACAGTAAACAGAGTTTCGTTTCATATTAGTTGACAACAGATTATTCAGAACTACAAATGTAGCAATAAATTTTTTGCTCGAAGTCGTGACTGCTGCTCTCACAGCTCTGAGTACTGTGCAGAATTATTTTTTAGAATTTAGAAAACAAAGGAACGTTTAACGTCAATTTAAAAGAAGATAGCCATAGTTATTTTTTCTTTTCAAATATTGATTTTAATTGACATGTTTATAAACAGTTAATGAATAATAGATATAAAGAAATGAAGACTTCAAAAAGTCTTTTTGAAAACTATCGCTTTTTTTTAATTTTTCAGTTATGTAGCAAATAAAGTTATTATACAATAATGAAATAATAAATAATTATTTTTAAAATGAATTATTATAGGTAAATTTTAAATATTTATTTGTATTTCACAAGTTTTAAGATTTTAAGATTTCTTGGATTTCTTAAGATTTCTTGTCAAATTACAACCTAATCTAAATTTATAGATAATTATGATTAAAAAATATTAAGTTTCAACATTATTAATTTAAATATTTATCTCATGAAGTAATAAAAATTATTATTTCTTACGTTTATTAATAAAAAGTAATTTGTTTAATATTATTAAAGTTTATTACTTCTTATTTAATTAAATATAAATAATTTTAGTCAAATAATCTGTTTTTCATAAAAATATAAGAAAACATCTAAAATTGATTAAAATAGTCTTGAACGCTTGTTTAAAATTGTTATTTATTTTTTATTAAAGGTTAAATGTTCTTTTATTTTTTTAATCCTAAAAAATAATTCTACACAGTACTCAGAGCTGTGAGGAAAGCAGTCACGACTTCGAGCGAAGAATTTATTGCTATATTCCTAGCTTTGAAAACTCTGTTGTCCATTAATATAAACCGAAATTCTAATAACTGTCAAAAAAATAGTGATTATTTTCTGCAGAGCATTGAGTGCTGTGCAAAAAACATTCAGAGTTTTGGAATTTAATTTTTTGGTTTCCACAGTAGCCAGTGATGTGAGAAAAAATACTTAGTGCTTTCAGATTTTCTCCGTGTAATTACTAAAAATATAATTGTTATGTTCCTGAGTTCAATTTATAAAAATACGGTTCTAATCATTCTCTATTATCGAATTCCTATTGTGAGACGTTCTTACTGTCGGAAAATGATTTAAGCGGTTATTTTCAAACATTGACTTAAAATGGTTTCTCATTTTGATATTATCAGTTTTATAATTTAAACGGTTTGGCATTACGTTAAATAATATAGATGTTGCAAATGCTATTACATATACTCCACACTCAACACTACCAAAAGGTTGTTGATCAACAGCTTCAAAAACTACTGTTGGTTGAAAGGGAACAATCTAATTAAATATTTTATTTGATGCACATTTAAACACCCCTCCTTAAGGCTATCAAAAATATAAAGCCTTTCACTATCGTAATAGACACAAATTCAGTGACCATAATTGTTATTACCGCTAAAAAGTATTTGAATATGTTTATCACCTTCTCTAATTGGGACAAGAAAATCAAGCATTTATACATACAAAGCACTTTGCATATTGAAAAAAGAATTGGAATATTTTCTTAATAAATCTTCAAATTTGTACATATGCATGTAATTTAACAATTTATTTCTGTTTTCAATAATTTTTAAATCTTTATCAATTAAAATAACATACTCTTTTATGTTGGCCATAGTATAGTTCGTTTAATTTTATTTTTGATTCATGAAAATCTAAATATCTTTAATCCTTTTGCTCACGCTCTCTAATATAACCAATTTTCCCTTTTATTAAATATAACCAATTTTGTCTTTAATTCAATACAACCAATTTTACCTTTTATTAAATATAACCAATTTTTCCTTTAATTCAATACAACTAATTTTACCTTTTACTAAATATAACCAATTTTTCCTTTAATTCAATATAACCAATTTTTACTTTAATCCAATATAACCAATTTTGCCTTTTATCCAATAAAACTACAACATTTATTATATAGAAAAAAAGGATGTACCAACTCTTGGCCAATAGAACCTTTGTTAATGAAGATTAACTCTGAGTACATAATGAAATGTACTGTAGGTTTACATTGACATCGGTACGTCTGACGTCTCGAAATTTTTTCCGTGTATTATCACATGGAAATATAAAGATAAAAGTCAAGAATTGAAGAGGTAATGTATATCTTTCTTTCTCACATCAAGGAATATAAGATATAAACATTTTCATTTAATATTTCATTTCTCTATCTAGAGGATTCAAAATAACATAAGAATATCTTCACCTAAAAATCTTACTCTTCTTTTTTTCTGTTTTCAAAATAAAAAAAAATGTATGTACCAGTATTAGACCCTCAGAACAATTACCACAAACAATACCAATCCTTGAACAATAGAGCCTTTGTTAATGAAGATTAATTCTGAGGGGCCAGGTAATAATTTTAAAATTTTTTTATTAAAATTTTCTGGGGCTCTAATACAGGTAGGGGAGAGTGATAAACAGTGGGACAGTTTAAACAGTAGGACACTTTAATTTTCTGAAAAACTAATTAAAGAAACTCGGTCAAAATTTAAATGTAAACCATGTTTATGACAACATACTATCTCCAAAAATTTTAGCCACATTGATTCATTATTTACAAAGAAAATTGAAAAAAACTGTTTTTGACGTTACGGAGTAAATTTTTTCTTGAAATACAATGCTGATTTTTATATAGATAGGACAGTTTTAAAAAAAGTGTAATTGTTACTTCCTTTACTCATGTTTTTAAGTATAATATCCAATAATTTAAATATTTTAAAATGTTACAAACAATTTTTATTTAAATGATTTCTTGAGATTTCTTAATTTAAACAGTGGGACATTAAACACAGGGACAGGCAAAAATTTAAGTTTATGAAACGTGGATTTTGGCAACACTAATTATAAGTTGTGTCAGCTATACGCATGCGCATTTATACTTACAGAGCGACTAAAAATGTGATTTTTTTATAATAAAAAACATTAAAAAATTCAAAATTTATTATTATTACAATTATTGTTCGGCAACATTTGAAAAATAACACTTGATAAGAGAACGACTATTCAATATTTCTGATTTAAATAATGAGACGATCCACGCAGGCTCAATGCGAGGGCCCTCATGGATCATCCCATTAGTATTTTCCAAAAAAATAGCCGTTGATTTTAGGGCTCGAGCGATTATTTTTCCACACTGGAGATCAAAATTTTATTCAAATATTTCCTTCCATACAATATTTTTTATATCTTTAAATTCTTCAGTATCAATTTCTACATTATTATTTGGATTTTTACATCGGGAAAGAGCTACATATAATTGACCGTTCGAAAATAAAGGTCTCCTGAAATATATTCCTACATTTTCAAAACTGTGGCCTTTATTTGGCCGTATTTTATTGCACAAGCTAAAACTATTGGAAATTGTCTTCTATATAGAATAAATGGTAAATTTGAAAATTCTCCAGAATCTCAAGCTGCTTCTACAATAGGTACAATTTGTGTTGCACAAGTGCAAATAAATTGTACTTGGTTGTGCGCGCATCGTAGTACCAACTGTCGCGAGTTACAGCAAGAAATGGTTGTCTCCAGTTTGGATTAAAATGTGCAGAGTGTGTTGATTGGAAACTAAACCATTGGAGTTGTATTTATTTTTTAAAATTTTTTAACGACATGGATGACATTAACCTTTTTTTAATTAAATTGATTAAAAAAGAACCTGTCATTTTTGACAAATCGTCGAATTATTATAAAGATGTCACAAGGAAGAGAGAAGCTTGGGAGAGGATAGTGAAGCAGTTCAATGACAATACTGGGTGCAATGTTGCAGGTAATTATGTTTACCCATAATGCATAATTTTAATATATATACTGTTGTAAACAGTTTTTTTAGTCTTCTTAAATCACTTTGTTTTTTAAGACTTATATGTTACGCTTCGCGAAGAAAATAACCTAAGTAAATTATTTGAAGGTTATGTTTGTGTCAGTTTAAAATTGATTAAATTTATTTGATATCGCTCATTTCTCCACTGATAATTTGGCCAGTAGAGGAATGAACTCATTCCTCCACTGGCTAAACCACCACCAGTGCCTAGTGTACAATAATACTATTTCACCGAAGGCGTTGGACAAAATATTTTATAGCGCTTTTCTTGAAAACACATTTTTTCAAAGATATATTTCATCCTTTTTATAATTTTTAATATGTGTCCTTTTTTTAATGCAGTGAAGCAAGCACAAGGAAGGTGGCGAATTTTGAAGGAAAATTATTCAAAAGAAAGAGCTGCGTTCAAGCAGCATACTCCATCAGGATCCGCTGCACAACGCGAACCAGAATGGATATATTTAAATGATATGTCCTTTATGGAGCCTATAGCTGAGCACATGTTGTAAGGATATAATAATAGAATTCATTATTATATTAATGTTTATAATAATAATAATAATAATAATTGTCTTTCAGCACTGTCGAATCCTTTGGCGGAGCGTACTCTGCAGTAGAGGAAGAACGAGAAGAAGAAGAAGAAGAAGAAGAGATGGAAGAAGAAGAAGACGAAACAGAGAACGAAGGTGGAAATATATTTTTTTATTTAATACAGGCCTCTGATTATACGTTTTTTTCGACTTTATAATACTTCTTTCAATGAATGCGACTTTTCTAGACTTTAATAAATCCAGATTAAATTAAGTACAATTTTGGTAGTGGGTTTAAAAAGAACCACAATCTCTGTGAACCGACTTTTAAGATTATACTTCTTAAGAATAGGAAAAGAAATATAAGAATAAGAGTCCTTACAGGAAATCAAGAAATTTTTGTTTTTTAAAAAAAATATTTAAATTATGTATTTCTGAAACCCCCTCTGTTTTTCACAATTTTTGATAAAGTTCCATAATACAAGATCCATGGTACTAAAATTGGTTTAAATTTTAGCAAAATCCATCTTTCGAATGAAACATAAAAAAATAATAATAATTTACACTTTCAGATATTTTCTCCAACTTCCCCCTGCCTGAAACATGTGTTCCTCCTGCTTAAGATTTTTCTGCAGCCAGCAGTGAATTTTCGCGGGAAAGAATACGAAGAGAGAAAGCAATTGTTATACTGGACAGTTGGTCGCGTGTCCCGGAAAGAAACAGGTTTGCCTGCTACCAAGATTTGACATCGTTAATAAAGAAAAGCAATAACGAAGATAAATAAAATGTAGTTATTTTATGTATAATTTTTTTAAAAATATATGTAAAGCAGTTTGTCACATCTGTAACATTTTGATTCTGAAACAATATTGTTCAAGTATCTATTGCTAGTATTCATTTTCCTTGGAGTTCGTGGTTTTTGCTTCTGTAATTTTTATAATAATTACTTTTTTAAAAAAAATACTTATCTACTATTTCTTTTCTTGTAATAATATATGAATAGGAGACTAAAATAAAAGATTTACTCTTAATATTAGAAAATAAAGAAAATTAATTTCTTAGAAAGAGCAATAATTTTTTTTATTGTTATTGAATTTAAAAATTTATTTGTCTACAGAAAATACATTATAATTTAGGTTTTTAAAATAAAAAAAAAATTTTAAGTAAAATCAATTTTCAAGTAGTCGACAGTTTTTAATTTTTAAAAAATCTTCTCTCTTATGTCCAAATGACCCCGGTGTGTAGAATTTTTAATGCCAGAGAAATGTGGCAAATGAGGGTTACATTGTTACAGAAATGCAGGTAAATTTAATTTAAAAACTATATTTCTCAATTAAATAAGAGGAACTTTAGCTTCTACTACACTAACTTACACAGATTCCGCTGTAAATATTAATTATTAGTATATTTAGGATGGCCACCTAAATTTGTGAATGAAATTCATGGCTTTTTCACGGTTATTTCCCTGTTTAAAAAAAAATTTTCAAGGATTTAGAAATTGAGATTTCATTACAAAATACAGACTTTTCAATTACTAAGTATTACAAAATAATCATTTTATTTTCATTTGTCAAAACTTTTATTTATTATAATTTTAATAAGCACTGTATTTAATTTATAGAAAGAATTTAAATTACAATTGACTACAATGACTTCATTGACTTCAATGAATTTCATATTTAGTCGATTTACTTACCCTTTAATCCAAACTTTTATTTGATTCCACTTTTCATTACATTTTATTAGTGAACATTCAAATTTTAATTGTTTCTTCTACACTTCATTTATCGCCTAATTCAATTTTCGATTTTTAAGATTACCTTTTTTTCGATAATCAGTTAAAAAATTCGTTTTTATAAATTCTTAGTCAAGTAATTGTCATTTTTTAAAGAACGTTTTACTTCAAGATAGACTGAGGCTTCGAAGTGACAAACTTTTTTACTTTTTTTTATACTTTTTTCGACAGGGCTACTTTTTAACTACTAATTTCGGCAAAAGCTAGTAAATGCTACTTTTTCAAAAAAGTAATTTTAAAAAAATGACAGAATTTTAGTTTTTAGCGACTTTTTTGATTCCTAAAAGCTGGACTAGTTCAAGAATTTTTTCTTACAATTCTTTCAGAATTGAACTGATACAAATTTTTAAGAATTCAATTTTGCATTTACTAACAACAAGCATCCAAAAGCCCTATATGAAGCATTTTTGTTCAATTTTAGTTAAATAACAATAAAAAATGAAATATCTTACAAACAAATAAAGTTATCGTAAATCTAAACAATCCAATTGAAAGTTAAACTAATTCCGCATCCAACGAGCCCTATATGAAGTATTTTGGATAAGTAGATTGTTAATAAACAATTTCAATGTTAACTAATTGTTTATTAACAATCTACTTATCCAAAATACTTCATATAGGGATCGTTGGATGCGGAATTACGTTAACTTTCAATTACTAACTTCAGAATTACGGTAACTATATTCGTTTGTAAAATATTTGATTTGTTATAAACATTAATTAATTAATTAATTAATATCTCAAAAACTTTAAAAGATCCCACTCTGAAAATTACATGTTTTGTAGGAAATTAGTCAAGCTTTCCATTGAGATAGTTAAAAATAATTTTAACAAATCCGATTTTGAGATAAACGTAAATTAACAATTTGACCTTGAATTTCAAGGTCAAATGTTATTTAAAAAAAAATTTTATTAACAGCGTGTAGCCCGTCAAAAAAGCTTTAAAAATCATTATATATATGAGAGATTCTTTTTCAATCGCCCCAGCCCAAAAAGTCAATGTTCTGGGATTGGCTTCATACTTTGGTAAATTGTTGTCCTATATGATAGTAATAAATCCCTAAAATATAAACTCATTAAAAAAATATTTGTAGAAAGTAGAGGGGGTTGAAGTTTTGACGTTAAGGGTAACATTGTCATTTTCAAATCCGTATAACTATGACAAAAGTTAATGGATTTTAATTTATCCATAATGAATTTTAATGCATTTTTCACATACTTTTCAAAAATTTATACAAAATTTAAAAAAAAAAAATTTTGACCCCTTTTTTTCCAAAATCAACCCTTATTTTTCGATTTTCACCCCTTCGGGTATTTTTTTTTTTATTTTTTTTGGAAAGCTGAGATTTTTTCCCATGAGCTATGTAAATATGAAAATGGGACAATAATAATTTTGTGAGAAACAGAATATTAAAGTAGGCGGTGCCGATAAGGGGTATACCTAGAGATCATCTTCGAGGATTTAGGTAGACACCGCCTAATTTAATATTATGTTTCTCACAAAATTATTATTGTCCCATTTTCATATTTACATAGCTCATGGGAAAAAACCTCAGCTTTCCAATGTGTGAGGGAGGTGAGGGCGTAATAATTAAATAAATAAATATAATTAATTAAAATAAAGTAAAATGACATTTATTAATACATGACTATACAGCTTGGCTTCCGGGCTTAGACTGACTAATACAATTAGATTCTCTTATTTCGAGTGACGTCATACACCAATACATTGGTTATACCTTACAATTCGGCTATCCTGATTAAAGTTCGACCTCGATCTGAAACAACATGCTTTTCAATATTTAATTTGTCAGTCTTTCATAAATATTTTATTTTACAATAATAAATATAATAAATATAAAACAATACAACTACATTTTGCTTTTTATAAAAATCATTTTACATAAAATTCGTTGATAATAATAATTAATTTCTTTTATTTACAAATAAAAATGTCAAATTCGTCAATACAATTCTAATCAACACACCAGGGTTTCAAATTACATGCCTCCCAGGTACCAGAGTATGACTTTTGCGTTACTTGAAAATTTTCTACGTCTTTGACCACATAACGATCATTTCTCAACACTTTGTCAACTTGATATGGACCCTTCCACCTGGGAATCATTTTCTTTGAAACTCCTTTAGTCGAATCGAAATTCTTAATGACAACTAAATCGCCGACAATGTATTTGTGCGCCTCTTTTCGTTTCGCATCAAAATATTTCTTGTTATACTCTTCCGATTTTTCCATTGTATCTTTCGCTTTGAGTCTTAGCTCGTCTAATTCACACGATTCGTCACTCACCTGTATGTCATTAATATATTCCCCCAAAGCATCTACATTTTCTCCTCTCTGAGTCACGCCGAAAAGTAATTTACTCGCTGTTTCTCCCGTACTTTTATTTACTGTATTGTTCAAAGCAAATTCTGCCTCCCACAGAATTTTATACAAAAATTTTCCATTTTGAACGTCAGTTAATTTCGCTAACATCGGGGTTAAAACCCTATTTACGCGTTCAACCTGTCCGTTCGATTTCGGAGAAGCAGTTGCAACTTTAATATGAACAATATTATTATCGCTTACAAATTTGTCAAAATCGACGGAAGTAAAGCAAGTTCCTCGATCGGACACAATCATTTTTGGACGGCTATAATTTCGAAAATATTCGCTTAGACAATTAATTGTTTCTTTTGAGTCAGTTGATTTTACGGCGTACAGTTTAACAAATTTCGTAAACCCGTCAATAACAACTAACACATGTCGTTTTGTAGAAATACTTTTATCAACCGGACCTAAGTGATCAATATGACATAACAAAAACGGTTTATCGCCTTTCGGAATCGGATTCAAAAAACCTTCTTGTTTACCGTTAGGAGGAGAGAATGCAATGCATTTTAAACAATTAGCAATATGAATTTTAACTTTTTCATGCAATTTAGGAAACCAATAATTTCTCAACATGGCTTCACATGTTTTCTCGCATCCCAGATGGCCTAATTCATCATGATATTTTCGCATTACGTTACATTCCATTCTTTCAGGCACATAAAACAATATTTTTTCGCCTCGTTTTCGATAAATAATACCGTTTCGCATTTCAAAATTTTGATCTTCCGATTTTTCTAATTTTTCGCGCAACTCAAGAATTTTTTTATCACAGTTTTGATTCACTATCAGATTTGCCTCAAAACTATTTTCTTCGACCACCATCACGGAATTCATACGGCTGAGAGCATCTGCATGTTTCATTTTTTCTCCCGATCTATGTTCGATTACTTTATTATAGTTTTCCAACTCGAGTGCCCATCGCTCTATTCTTGTGTTCATTTCTTTTTTATCCAAAGTTTGCTTTAAAGA